AGTACAGAAAATAAACCACAGAAGCGGAAGAAGATGCATGGAACAACTTTGAGATTTCATACTTAAACTGATTACAAAGGCTCGTGAAGATGCCGGCAAAAATACACAAAAAAAAGGTCAAAAAGAAAACTATTGGTCCTGGCCATCACGGCCTTCAGTGTCCTCGCCAACTTGGTCTTCGACAGCGTCACCACCTTGACCACCGATACCCTCACCATCTCGATCCCCCTCGCCATCGCTACCTTCGCCCTGAGGATAAGCGGTATCATACCAGGCATTCTCCTCAAGCCGGTCTACACCCTTGTCCCCATCCTCCTTATCGGCCTCAGGCCCAGCGGGATCATATCCACAAGCAACTCGAGCTTCACGAGCATCTTCAAGGGCAACCTCAGAAATGGACCCCGCCGTATGCAAATCTCAAAATACATCTAACCGGGCGTCGGCATGAATCCATTCTTCATATAACTCCCGAGGTACATTGGGAAAATCTGAAATACGGAAAGAGGATGGTTGTGCAAGTAATTGGGCCTTCTTGTCCTCCAAAGCGGCCACTCGATCATGAAGAACAGAGTTATCTTTCTCCACCTCTCCGATCCTCTCCTCGAGTCGATTTTCCTTAGCTCTCACTGTTGATTGATCCTTGTCCCGCTCGGCTCCGAGTGTCCTATTCGCCAACTCAAGCATCTCCGTCTTCCTCCGAGCATCCAAACGAGAGGACTCCGCCTTCTCAAGCTCCTTCTGCTTCTCAGCGATCTCATTATAGAGGGTCTCCAGGTGAGGTCGGCACTCTTCTAACTACCCCCCCACAACTCAACCACTTAAGCTTGAAGGTCACTACATTGGGCCTTCATGCCCCTGCTGACCTCAAGTTCCTCTTTCCTACTCCTCAACATCCCCTCAAGGACGCTACATTTCTCGATGGCCTGCACCATCTCATTATCGTTCTCTTTCAACTAGTCCCGAAAGGGCCTGCACATCGCCGCCTTCGCGAAATCGCCTGCGGTGATTTCGATACTTTCCAAGATACTCAAAATACTTATATTTTAATTTCACAAAGATTTTTTTACGCCTCTCCTCCCTCCGGGCGCTCTCGATCTCCAAAATCACCGTTGGCAATCATAAAAAGCAAAGAGAAGAAAGAAGCAGAACCAAAGACGCCCTGAAAATAAATAAAAAAAGAAGTCAAACACAAACACTCACCCTAAGAGCAAGGCCAACAATGCTCCTCGACAAAGCACCATCATCTATTTCTTTAAGGGTCTTACCCTCTATCTCGGAACAGAGAGGGCCGAGGGCAGGGACTACCACCTCGATGTTCACCAACAGATGACGATCCATGGGGATCGCGATAGTCCTTGTAGACCCCTCCAACCTTATCTCAAGCTGGGTAAGCCCTTCTTCCATCATCCTCAGGTCGTCCACATCAACTTCAGAACCTGACTCATCACCATCCTCATCGATGCCATTGCGCCTCTCGTTAGTTGGCAAGGAGGTATCCGCGGCTGTTCGAGAAGTAGATGCCTCCTCTCGCTGTGAAGGGTCATGAACGTCAACAGTCGTCTCTCCAGTCTTCATCACCGCAGAGAGAAGAGACACATCTACATCGGCTCCTACCGACCTCGGAGCCTCGGAACGGCTCGACATCATACCCCACTACAATAGTCACCGTCTCACGCAGCGAAATGTCCCCTTCTGCCATATCAACGGCCCGAGTGACTCCTTCACAGGCATCCACAGACCTCCTCTTTCGAGGTTAGTAATCTCCATCACTAGGCAAAGGCTCATCGTCCTAGTCATTGAGAGAATATAGAGGAGTCGAAGTCTCCACGGCCGAAGCAGAAATAGAGTCGGATGCGGCAACATGATGAGTTGGGACAAAGATAGGATCAACCACGATCAAAACAGGGGCGGAAATTGAGGGCGTAGTAGCCTTCCTCTTCTAGAACGAGAGCGCGGGAGCTCTCGACCTCCTTATAGACCCCCTGGCCGAAGCTAAGGAAAAATGGGAAAAGGGAAAATCAGTGAAGGAAAACCAACAAAGAAATGAAGATGCTAAGGGTAAAAAGAAAATTACCAGTCAAAGGGAGAGCAGGCCTGAATTTCTTGAAAAAACTTGGCCATTCACGAATCCTTACAATGTGAGGGAGGAGCCGCTTGACCCAGTCAGAAATATGAGCGTCCAAAGGAAGAGGCGAGGTCTTGGCTGCAAAAGAAGAAGGCGAGAAGTCAAAATTCAGGACCGAACACGGGAGAGAAACCAAAGTTCTTACGAGTATAGTTCCAAGCCTCTAGAAAGTCGTTGACATTGGCCACAACGTCCTCGATTCTAACAAAAAAGAAGTTAAACTAGAATTGACAACTAGCCTTATCGTCCATCTTCACCACCAAACATTTGCTCCTTGGGTGGTGAAGGTGCAGCATCGTTCCCCTATAAAAGTTAGGAGCGAATAGATGAATTAAGTGCTGCAGTGTCAGTTCGACCCCGGCCAGCCCAGTAAACTTAGTGAGCATCTTTATAGCTTAATAGATGTACGACGCGAGCTGAGTAGGACAAACGCCGTAGTGATGATAGAACTCTTCCACCAGTGGAAGGAGGGGAAAAGAATAGCCGACTTGGAAGGGGTAGGCGTAGAGGGGACAATACCCAGGACGGTGGACCTGTACTGTATCCCCCTCGGCCGGGATCAACTCGATATGATTGAGAATGTCGAATTTTACCTTAAGCTCCGCTAATTCCTTCACCGTCATCACTGAGCGAAAAGCTCCAGGTGCAGCCTCTGGTGATTTGGTGAAATCAAATCTGGAATCAGGGTTCCACGGTATTATCTCCTCCTCCGACGGGAAGGTTTCATCCTCAATGGTGGAAGGAACACTATCCCCATGGAAAGGGAACACCACTACCAAGGGAGCAACACGACTCCCCTCTCTAGCCTTAGAAGGAACGTTAGACATGATTCAATGTAAGGAAGAAGAATAACCAACGAGAGGGAATGAAGAACAATGTAAGTCGCTGAAAGAGAGAAGAGAAATTCGGAGAAGAAGAGAGCAAGAGAAATGTATGGGATTTTGAAGCATTAGAAAATTTTTGGAAGTCCAAAATCTTATTCAAAGACCTCTATTTATAAAGGTCATGGCACCGAAACCGAAAACATCTCATCATGATTGGCACTGGAACTGAAGCGGCGGGTCTAATCGGAAATATGTGTCATAATGACACATGACATCATGATGTCATCCTAACTCATGGACAGCATAACGCCAGCAAATCGCCCAGAAAATTTGAAGCATTTGAAATGTGTGGCCCACAGAGGGCCACGTTACCTACTTGCCAGAACAACCACGACCTACGTAGTCAGCTTGATTAGCTCGATTTTACCACTAACAACACGATCTGTTCATCGAACCCGTCCGCGAAGCCGGCCTCAATAAGCGGAGGGACTAACTGTATGGGTCAAAATTTATCTTTAGAATACTTAAGTGAAAATAGTACTGGTGGAACCTTCCCAACTGTCACTTGTCAAATTAATCTAAGAAACGGTGAAGTCCGTGGTCGAAGAGTCAGCAAGGGTTGAAGCCGAGGAGTCATCAAGGATCAAGGCCGATGTCGAGCACCCTTGACAGAGTTATAACGGCTAGTTTCAAGATAGGACATAAAAGAAAATATTCTAGTGGATATTCTCTGAACTTGTACTATTAGGATTTTTAGGAACATGTTCCCTATAAATAGAAAGAAACACAATGATAGGGGACATGTGATATTCATTTGTAAAATACACTTTGACTTTAAAGAGAGAATCAGATCTTATTGCACGCATACAAAAATAATCTTTTCACTAAGATTCTCGTCCATACTTTCCCTCCGGATTCGAGAATAACTCAGATATTCAAAGGCTTATCCATTACTCATCATTGTCAGAAGGAACATTCACTGATTTCATCCTTTCTTGGGTGACTCATCCGTTCTATTTACATAAGTGCCATTTATTGTTGTTCATCACTATTTAATGCTATATTACTTCCTCTAACTTCTTAAATATTGATTGTGTGCCGTCATTGCTATTGAAAATATATCTGCATGTCATTTATTGCACTTCCGAGAATTTCATCTTTGGGATATTATTGTTAGGTAAAATTAATCCTCATTAGTATAAATTTAATTAGTTGAACCAAGATCTATATTTTTTTGTCAAATAGTATACACACATGGACTTGAACTTCGACTTATGCTCGCAGTTCCTTTTAGAACTCGCATGTCTTCAAACTAAGACGTAGGGGTTGCTCATATATGCAGTAATAACTTGATATTATAATTAGTTTATTTATATTTATAAATTGATTTTTTTTTTTTTTGTTGCAAATAACTGGTGGAATATATTAGCAAGGTAAATTTGTCATGTTGTAATATTTTTAACATTAATTATATACTCCCTCCGTTTCATATTAGATGAGTTAGTTTGACTCGGCATGGAGTTTAAGAAAAAAGAAGAAAACTTTTGAAACTTGTGGTCTTAAAAGCTTAAGGGATAAAAAGTTTGTGGGGCCATGACATTTGTGTGGCTATAAAAGCTTTTCATTAAGGGTAAATGGGTAAAATAAAAGAGTCTAAAGTTGAATTATTTCAAAATTTAAAAATGTGTTATTTGTTTTGGAACAGACTAAAAAGGAAAGTACCTCATCTAATATGAAACGGAGGGAATAATAAATAGATAAAAGAATTGTTACGAATCAAAGTATCTAAATCACCTCGGAAGTTATTGTTACGGAAACTAAAATAACTGTTCTATCATTTTGAGCTTTTCAAGTCATAGTATATGCATTAACATGTGTCAGGAAAAGCTCTCTTCTCAGAATAAACTAGAAAGAGAGGTGCTAAATTCCCTGGAACCAGCAACTCTAAAATGAACCTGTGAAATGAAGGTTGCTATATATATTTAGACAATCTATATTTAAGCATAGCCACTAGATAATAAAACTTTTATGTATAAATATTACCCACTTTCCTCATATCATTTACCCTTATCCCATTGGTTTTCTCCTTCTTTCTACGCTAAAACAAAGAAAAGGAAAAAGCAATGGCTCTCCAAACACAAACTATGCTTCTTGTTATTGCCATTTCTTTCTTCCTATCAATTCTTCCCTCTAAGGCATATGATTACCCATCAACATCTCTTTCACCATCACCATCCTTAGATTCATCCTCAGATTCATCATCTGTCTCTTCCTCTTCTCAAATCTTTGATATTCCCACAAAACCTCTAGTTGCCAAAGCAAGTGATATTCCTTCATTTGTCAAAGCAAGTATGGTTGGTACCATGACCAAGACCGAGGAATTCATCAAGAATGTCATTGATAAAAGGTTGGCTAATAAAGATATGGACAGCTATCATAAGGATTGCCTCGAGACATGCAAGGAAGTTTACGAAGACGCCATGGATTCCATGACGAAGGCCACAGAAGATGTCAATTTAGGAAATTACTTCAAAGCCAATGTGGATATTAGTGCCATGACCTCATTCATTGAGACTTGCAAAGACTGTGCCGCCGAGATGTATGGAGATGACCCTGCCTTTCAGAAATTTCAGAATTGGGCTGAAGGCATTGCCAGCGATTGTCTTGATAAAGTCGCTGGCGCGAGGAGTTAATATGGTATTCAATTTATAACATATGAAACCAAGAATTGTTGGTTGCTCTCTAAGTCAGGTGGTTTGGTGGAATAATTGTGACGTTTTGAAAGAGGAGTAGGGAAGAAAGTGATATTATGATACGCTTTTTCAACATTTTCCTTGTGTCTTCTTTACACAGTGGATTGTGTTGTATTAAGGGGGAAAATGTGGTGATGACTCTATGCTACATATTAGGGTTTCATTAAAACTATATCTAATGAATCTATTTCACATATTTCGATTCAAGTAACTCTAAATTTTATTGTTTTCCATCCTTAGTTCATCTGATTTAAACTACGCACAACAACATCAAATTAAGTTCCAAGTCTCATATTGATAATCTCCAATAGTGGGTGTCCGCTTGTACTTGTCATAGCCTCCTTCCTACAATCTTTCTTCGTTGCTTAGCCAAAGGTCTAGTAGAAACTGCTTAATCGAGGGAAACTAGAAGTCTGACTGGCCAGAAAAAGGTTATCCAAGAAGGCTCCGAGAATCCCCTTTTTAGGAATATACCGGTGCCATTCTTCTAAGAAAATAATAAAGTAGGGCAATAGTTGACTCTTCACACTTGAACTAATTGAACAAGGAGGGCAGGGGGTGCTTATTGTATATAAACGCTGCTCTCCCTTCTTTGACAAAGTTTCACTAGTGAACGTTTGAGCTCTCAAATGCCTTCTTCGTCGGTTCATGCTTATGCATTTTTCTTATCATATTCTTGGTCGTCTTCTCAGTAGCCTGCTCCCAGGCAACCCCGGATTGAGGTAAGTCCTCAATAAAGTCCAAGCTTATCTCTGCCAACATTCTTACCAACTACTACTAATGTCATCAAAGACAATCAATATAAATCTGCGCAAATATTACTAACAGCTGAATTCACTAACCTTGAAAGGTAATAGGGTGCATTGGTTAGTTCAAATTCAAAAGCATAACCATATACTCATAATGCCTTGAACAAAAAAATATGCCTTGAATGAGTTTTATATGCAGATTTGTGTACATCCTCAGATGACATGCTCAATTAGTTGCACGTATACCTCAAGTCTATTCTAGGTAAGACCTTAGCTCAACCGAATTCAACCAATAGGTCTTCAATGATAGGGATGTGACACTTATCCTTAATGGCCCGCTTGTAGGATATCTCTAAGGTCTTTGCTATACAGGTAAGGTTGTTCGGCTGTAGAGCTACTTTATGGTCAAATACACCTCTAAATGGTAGTAATCCAGCATTTTCTCCAGATGTAACTTTGAACCTTATTAACAATTTATGTAACTAGTAATGTCCATCACTATCAAGCATGATTTCAGAAGAATGAAGCTGTACTGTGGGTTGTTTAGGCCGATAAGTGTTTACCAGATGCCTAATGCAATTATGCCCCTTCTTTGGAAAGTTTTTCTCCAGCAAACCTCGCCTTACCAATTGCTCCTCCCAGTACATGTTTATTGTTAGCATAGATGATGAATTACCTATAAATTCATTTTAGTAGCACCGAGGTTCAGCAAGCATTGAACACCTAGCTCCACATAACTGGTCCCAGAAGATGGTATAACAAAATCTGCAGAGAAAGACCCCTGCAACATATGTTGGAATCTAGAACAAGCTTCAGAAACCTAGATTAGCAGTGCCATTAACAACACTTGCAGACTGTTCTTTGGGATGGTATTGCACTTGAATGCTTCAGAAACGTACTATAGAAAAAATTTATGGGCACTACCAGTGTCAATCAAGATTTGAACAGTGATGATGTCCAGTAATCCTTTGTTAATACCCAAAATAGACAAAAACTTACTGAAAATTTTGACAGACTTGCTGAATGAACAGGTCAGTCGAGTTGAAGGCCAGCCTCTTGAACTCACGTCAGCTGCTTAGTTGAGCAAGAGTCATTCGCCTTTTACATGCTAGGGGCTACGCCTAGAATAAACTTGCCTCAATCAATTAAGCAAAGACTTGACCCGTAATTACACCCAAACTAAGCGGGTAAGGTAGAATTTACCATGACAAGAATAAGTTATTGTATTAGACTTACTCAAGAAGATCAGCTTCTACAGTAGGTGGAATTAGTAAGTTATTAACCGTAAACCAAGGAACGTATACGGATCAACTGAATGAGGATCAAGTCGGCTAATTAAATAGAGTTCTAGAATAAGGAAGGACAGTCAATAAAGCTGCCAACTACCACCCTATGATCTGGAACATACAAAATTTTGGAGGGATGCAAAGGGGTACGGGTAAAGCACGCCCAATAGCTAGTCATACTCATATCTCTATGAATATGCAAAAATTGTACATAATATCATCATCCAAATTGAACATATCAAGTTCCTCTTTCTACCAATTCAATATAATTTTAAAAGCCTTTTCTTTTATTTATTAGTTCCTCTAGTATTCCTTTTACATATTTTGTTATTTATTGCACTTTTAAGCTATTCATCAAATCACCAAGTACTAGTCTTTCGTACCTTTCGCCAATTATGACCTCTTGTACAGTGACTCATAACCCATAACTAAGAGACAAAGTCCTCTTAGTATATTGCTTGAAGCGGAATCATCCTTGTGAATCACCTGTCTTTAGCTTCTTAGCTTAATCGACTATGAGAAGATTCACCAATGCACTTATTGGTCAGAAGCCTAAAGAAGCATTCATAGCATAGAGTGACGTAAAGAGACGCTCTCACATAACAGATGAGTTAGACTCCTCTTGTTCCTCACAAGTTAGGCAATCTATTCTCCACTCAAATCCACCTTCAGAAACTAAACCTGTTTAGAAACCTTGCACATATGTCATAACACCATTTCTTTATCACAAAAGCAGATAGACCTTTTTCCCTTCTATCATGATCCTTTTAATTAAACTTCAAAAAAAATCTAATTCAGATAGCCTAGAAAAAAATTAAGGGTTGGTAGCACTCAGAGTAGGAGTTTAAGCTAGAGAATTACCTCCAGAATCCATCATAATGGAGTGTTAAGGTTTGGTGCAGACCCCCGAATCTGCATACATGATGTTCTTCCTCCATTTTACTTTCTTCTTCAAATCCTAGCTGGAATTCTTCAATTCAGTCGTCACTCTGAAAGTTGTTGCACAAGCTCCTTGAGCTTTAGTATATCCTTGAGGCTCCTCATCTCATCGAATCACTTTAGGCATTTTCCGTCATATTGTGAAGGCAATTGTCTTCGCTACCAACTGATAGATAATTCATAATCTCAGATGAGTTTTTTATGAAGCAACTGAATTAAGAGATCTCGAAAGACCTCAAAGATTCAACTTAAGTTTGAGAAGCCTCCTGCGCGTTGGTAGGATGTAGAGAGGTTCTGTGAAATTTTCGGAATGAACTATAACATATACTACTATTTATATCTCATTTCTCATGCAATACAACTAGTGTTGACTAAATACTCCATTGTAACTCACTCGTTTCACTTATGCTACTCTCTGAGTTAGTGTAAATCGGACTCTTTTCACTTCATGCAATTAACATGTGCTTCATCAACTGTAACTAACTGACTTAACTGCCCTCAAATGCATAACAATTAATCAAAGAAACGCTTGTGAGCTAATTTTAACCTAAGACTTAAGCTGAAATTGGCACCGACTAATTTTGAGCTGCCATTTGGTTTAAGTTTAACACCATTGAACAAAGAGCATAGTTACAAAAATGTAACTTTTAATTTGATGTTGTTATCTTACTTATATGGTTAAATGTATATTACTTCCTCTGTTTCAATTTATATGTCTTACTTTCCTTTTCAGTATGCTCCAAAAAGTATGTCACTTTCTATATTTGGTAACCCTTTAATTCCAACAAACTCACGTTATCCCTAAGGGCACTTCCTTATAAGAATGACACGGCATGTTTAAGGCCACAATATTCAAAGAGCATCGTTGGTACGTTAAGCACACTTTTAATTTAAGACCACAAGATTCAGAAGTCTTCCTTACTCTCTTAAACTTTGTACCTAGTCAAATTAAGACACAAAATAAAACAGAGGGAGTACTAAATTTCATCGACAATTTGCAGTCTATTTTTGTCCTACCCCTGTAGAAAATCCTAAATTTACCTCTGCATGTTCAACAGATGTTAGTGCTGACGCAAGTGTTTGAATTCAAATTATGACAGCTCACACAACCTATTAGGTCTCTCCTACTCCCTGTTAGCTATGTGAAAAACAAAATACACCAATGCAAGCTTAAAGAAAGACTTTCTTTTCAAGTAAGAACTTATATTCATGTTGCAATCCAAATTGAAATATCACGATGTACAGAGGTGCTTATTATTTGTGACAATCTCTTAGTTACTTGACAGCTACAATTGTCAAAAAGGATAACACTAATTATTACCTAACTGATTAGCCATCTTCACAGATCTAGATGGTATTATGGTAATACATTCATCATCAAAGAAGAATGACAACAAACAGGGTAGGAAACAGAGAGGGCCGCAAACAGAGGTATTTGGGAGGGGGGCCATCGATGCATATAGCTAAAATATGATTTTGTGCTTATTCAGTCGGGCTGGTAATCTGATGACAATTTTAAAAGAACCAGGTCCCAGAGTCACTTGCTGCTGCTCCCTGCAGCCAAGTCTGATGCACGTGTGTCCAAGTGAGCCCATCCGCGACCGTCACATTCTGGAAGCAAAAAGCAAATTATAACAGGTTTGGCTTGTAAGATATAAGTGAAATGATCCTTTAACAAACATCACCTTTGAACTTAACAAGACAGTAGTTATGCAACATTGTCGCTCTTCGCCTGCAAGAAACAGCATATTGTAAGAAAAACAATATTAGAAATAATAAGAGCCGAACAGAAAGAAAAGGCGGATCACATAGTATTAACATCCGTGCAGAAAATAAGTCATTTTCATAAGGCGTAATGGCTTCCTGGCCACTTAAACTTGTACCGGTATTTTAAAGAACACTCGAACTTGACGGAATGAGTACAAATAAATACATCCAGTAGTGCGTGTATATCAATTGCGCTGACATGTACAACACGTCATATCTAGACTATTTATTACTTGACATGTGTTATTTGTGGGTCCTATTCTTAAATAGTAAATAAGCAAAAAAGAAGTCACAAATTTATTTTAAAAAAAAAAGGAGAGAGAGAGAGAAAAAGACCTGACACTTCCCTCTGTTCACCCACCTCCATTCCTTTCCTTAATCTTTTTTCTTTCTGTTTTTTTTTTTCCTTTTCTTCAGTGTTCTTTCTCTCTCTTATTTCTAAATCAAATTTCATTTGTCTGCCAAGGATACAAGTAATCTCTTTTTCCTT